ACCACCTCCTCCACACCATGATGAACACTCGAACATTCACTCCTTGTGAACATTCACTCCTTGTGAACATTCACTCCTTGTGAACATTCACTCCTTGTGAACATTCACTCCTTGTGAACATTCACTCCTTGTGAACATTCACCCGTTTATTGGAGCCCCTCTTTACCAGCACTCTCCCTTTACGCACGTATACCCGCTTACGAGTGTTCCCGCTTGCATTGCACTTCCCTTCGTGTACTTCCCTTCGTGTACTGTAGGTCATGTGTTGAACAGCGGGTGTGACGAAGCGTATTTGTTGACAGGACGTTCCGAGATTTCGGGATTCTTCTCATCGGCTGTGGTGCGACACCGCTTCTATGGCAGCCGGATCAAGGTGGACCAGACGTTGCACATGCACAACCCGTTGGGGGGGCTTTCACTGTCCGTCAGAGGCTTAATTTACTTCGTGAATTCGTACTATGAGGTGTTGGAGTTTGTCCAGTTCTTCTCGCTGTCCGCAGTTCAGCAATTCGCTAACCAACCATCAACGTATGTGATCACAAATGAGTTCCTTTACTTGTTGCATCAGAAGCCGGCCGCGGCACTGGACGGTACGGGTACCGCGGAGCCGCCGCTCCTTTCGCAGCCGCCGCACATGACGGCGATTCCAATCGCTCTCAACGCGGGTGCCGCTAACTCCACAGTTGTGGGCGCGAGTAACAGCTCCGTTCAGACGGCGACGAGTTCCAACGCGCCCGGCATGCCTGCTGCGCCGGGCATTCCTGCAGCCCCCGGAATGGGAATAGCTTCTGGGCATGCCGGCGCCCCCGGTATGACGGGAGGAGCACCCGGCATGACGGTGGGCATGACGGGAGGAGGAGCACCAGGCATGACGAACAATGCTGGAGCCCCCGGCATGACGGGCGGCGCAGCGCCCGGCATGGGGTCCTTTAGAGGTCCCCCGGGCTCGGCGTCAGGAGCCCAGAACGTCTACCCGTCAAATGCCCCCCGGCCCGTGGGGATGATCCCCATTCACCAAGCTGCCCTCGGGTCCGGTCCCACTGCAGAACACCACCAACGACAATCGCTGAGCAAACACTCCTCCATGACTGGCCGGGACCACGATGGACCTCGCGACCGCGATGGACCTCGCGACCGCGAAGGACCTCGCGACCGAGACACAGAGAAAGGATCAGAACATCGTGGCCCCCGCCGCTTCCAAGATGAACTTTCTTTGCACGCCAGCCCCCTCACTTCCGCCGGCAGCACTTTCCTGCGCGAAATCACACCTTCGCAAATTTGCGACCTCGTGAACGAAGCCGTAAAGAAATTGATAACTACCGCGCCAGACAGCGACGGAACCGAAGCCAACGAGGGTGAGACAAGTGTCCGCAGCCTCGCGGAGAGCAAGGCCGTAGACGTGGGCGACATGGAAAGTTGTGGAAAAGAAGGTGTTGCTGGAAAGGAAGGTGCTGCTGGAAAGGAAGGTGTTGCTGGTAAGGAGGCGACTGGTAAGGAGGCGACTGGGAAGGACGACAGCGCCGGCAAGAGCAAGGAGGAGAATTTCGGTAAGGAAAGACCGTTCGCTAAGGGTGCGGCTTCGCTAAGTAAGGAGGCTTGGGAGGTGTTGAAGACTGGCCGGTGTCTCCATGTGGCGCGTCCACCAGGAGCAAATACTGGCCGCACATTCTGTTTCTTACACTTCACAAAAATCGAGGTCGTGGAGGCACTAAAACAAGTGGGCTCTCTCATGCTGGAAGGTCATGTATTTAAACTCGCCCCAGTCAAGAAAAGAAGCAATGGGGGACTTTCCGGCAATGGCCGCCGCTACCGGAATTCTTTCTCCAGCAGACACCAACATGGCCATCAGTCACAAGGCCCGCAAACTGCGCCCCAGCAACAAAGATGAAAACACCCCACTCGTACAAACCCTTCTTGCATGCAGTCCTAGCACGCAGTTCTAGCACCAGTTCTAGTACCCAGTTCTAGCACCAGTTCTAGTACCCAGTTCTAGCACCAGTTCTAGTACCCAGTTCTAGTACGAAGTCCTAACCGGCAGTCCTAGTACCTAGTACCTAGTACCTAGTCCTAGTACTTAGTCCTAGTACATCAGACGTGCGAGACACAGTGCATCAGACTTGCAACAGCCGTGCGTGTTCCAACAACGATGAGTTGCCGAGCGAAGTCAACCGCGAACGAAGTCTACCACCAACTAGATCAACCTCAACCGCGAATGAGTCCAACCGTGAACGATGTGTGTCGCGCATGACATCGGTCACCCGAAATCTGTGAGAGAGAATGTGTGGCCAACGTCTGTGTGGAAGGCCAACATCCGGGCAAGCGTCAGGTCGGGGGTTCGAGGCAGGCGCCTCCCACCAGTTGAAGGCCCCGTTCTAAAACCTCCTCTTGGGAATGCAAGAAGAACCAGGCGACTGAACTGAACTTGCTCGGGAATCCGGATTGGAGAATGTCACGCGCGAGCGGGACGCACTCGTCGTGGTGGACGTCTGGGTGTTGCCGTCAGGACCTTTCTTGTTCGCCTGGACAAAGCCCGGTTGGTC